TAATCATAAATTGTTGTTGTTAAGAGAATATCAGCAAAGATTTTCTGCAAAAAAAAAAAAAAAAAAGCTCAGTGTGATTACAACTCCCTATTTCCTGTTGTTCTGTCTTGCAAAAGCTAAGTTTGACCATAGACTTGATGATGTTGCTCCTGCTTTTGTGGTAAAATGTGTAAAACCTCTGACTGTTCTAAAAAATGAGACAAGAAGCACTTTCTGATAACTCAAAAAATTACTTTTATGTAGACTCCTGCAAAAATATAAACCCCCAATCTCCCCCCCCMCACACACACACATTGGGTGTAAAATACAAAGAGTTTCTAGAATAATTTTCCAGAGGAGGAAATTTCAGGCACAAGCCACACTCTGGACTCGTCCGGTTGCAGCCAATAAACCTTCTTCCTGCTAATTCCTTGGATGGCTAGCCTCATCAGTCCTAYATCAGTACCAATAAACAGAACCCAAACAAAACTAACTGGAGGAGACAAAAAAAAAATTGCCACCCTGCTRTTATCAGGGAAAAGAAAGTATGATAATAAATTGCTATCTTTTAATTATTTAAGGAGACCTGTTTTCATAAATATAAYCTATGGGCTCAACTAATTGCCATAGTTGGGTGTTTTGGGTAGTTTTTAAAGTTATATATAACATTATGAYACATTTTGACATAATCATAAAAGCATGRAATATAATTTGCTCTAATTTGAGTTTTACAATTTAAAAAATTMTTGGATCCTCTTAAAAATCCAAAATAAATAGATCATTTAGAAGTGGTTAACTCTTGCATTATGCTTTCTTCTGATTTAGAATAATTGAAGATGAAAAGGTCTTCTCTCAAAGATGTACCCTGGGTTTTGTTTGAATTCTCAGGCACATTCTATTTGTTCTTAATCTTACCTGTCAGTTCAAGCCTGCTTTTTTGACTATCCAAAGAAATTTTATGGAATGTACTTATACACTAGCATGTTTGGTAGTAGATTCCAAACCTTTCAATAAATAAATAATCAATGGAAATTTTATTTGCCTTTGACCACTTCCAATGAAATGGGATGTATTATGTCCTTATATTGCAATGTAGAGTACGGATTATATTGCACTMTAGACTAGATTAAATATAATTATCAGAGCATACAAAATGCTGGATTRTATTTTATAAGTAAATATAACCATCCATTTGAGAAATTGCATAAAGAAATATGCTTTAATTACCACCTTCAACATGCAACTTTCTAAAGAAAATCATGTAATGAAGGCAAAAATATAGGCCTTGTTCTGTAGAATAGGACAATTTGAACTATCTTTTAGTGGTGACTTGGGAATCATCTTTTAAAAGAGTATTGTCAGTCAGGTGTTGTGGCACATGCCTATTGCATTCCCAGCTGCTCAGAAGTCTGAGGCAGGAAGATCACTTACTCCTAGGAGTTCAAGACCAACTCAGTCCGTGTAAGAACCCATCTCAGAAGTAAAAACTAATACAAAATAAATAGCAGCATTGTCAGTTTATTCTGTTTAGCTGACTCTTCACTTGGTTAACAGTATATTTGTGAATAATTTAGCCCTAAAAATAGTTTTTTCATTCAAGTAGAAGTACAAAGAATTTAGAGAATAAAGTAGTTATATATGGAATTGAAGTAGACATTATTTGATTTTCCACCCATTTACCCCTATTACCTTGATAAAGAGTAAAGTCTGTCCTTCGATTTCCAAATCAAATTGTTACACTTAAAAAAAAAAAGATGCTCTTTGAAATAGCAGACATCTGACATTCATCGATTATGGAGTATATGACCCCCTTTTTGGCTACCTTTCATATATATATATTATCACATATTTTCTCATCTGTCTCTCCGACCCAATCTGTTTTCTAAATCTCTTTGTCAATGTCATTGTTGTTAGAGGACCTCTGTTACTCATTGAAAAATGCAGTGTTTATGCTTTTGTTTTAGTTGAGTCTCATCAGTGATCTTTAAAAATACTACTGACTTAAGAAACACCATATCAATTATGTTAATTCTTCTRTTAGTGCCAAAGATATGAGGGCACATTTTATGTATGTGTGTGTATGTATTCATGTATTTTAGATGTCCTTTCTCAAAGTCATTCAAAAAGAATATGTGAAATTTTCATCTTTCTCCACCTTACTTAGGACTCCCTGCCACAACATTTTCCTTCTCATAATATCAATGATTACTTCTTTTGTGACCTGGGGAAGATGTGAAACAAATAATGAATTCATTGGATGTTTAATTCAATGGAAATATACTAAAGAAATAAAATTGCATTTGAAATTTTTGGTCTTTCCTTTGGAAAGTATAAAGGAAAGTTTAACTATGCGGTTCATTTTCTGGACACTAGTAGTTGATTTTATTTTCAGACTGTAAGAGGTGTCTTCTTGGTGCCATAGAAACTATAAGAACTGAGATCAAGWTTCCCTTCTCTAGTTCATTCTATAGATATATCATAGAGATTTGTGTGCAAGCTCTGGAGATACAACATACATGATACACAATATTTGGTCTCACAAAGCCTTGGACTTAAAAAAAAAACTGTTTATCAAATATGCAATTATGAGGTCAGTGCTTATTTCTAAAAGGGATGACTCAGGAGATGTGAAAGTATGTTGTCAGCTGTCCTAACTCAAAGACAAAAGGGAACACTCCCTGAATAAATAATGTTTCCACCAAGAAGATTCTATCAATGAGAGAGGGATGGCTAAGGAAAAAATAGACGGGGTAAGATCTAGGAAGAGTGTCTTAGATRAAAGAAGCTACAAGTGAAAAGACCCAGAGAACAGAAAGAAGAGCTTTAAAAATCATTGAGGAAATCCTCATAGGGTTAAAAATAGGAGAGCAAGTCAATTATGGCCATGAGATGGGGCAGTAGAGGTAGGAGGGGACCACATTGTGGATGTGCTCATGTACCTCATTGGAGGTCTAGATTTTATCCTGAAGGCAATKGGGAGGGTTATGCTAGTGGCATGATTCAAGAGTGGCTGATATGTGGAGGATGAGTGGGAGTGAGTGCTGAGATACAGGGAGGCCTCTGAAAGTCTATAATAGTGATTGGACAGTAGGGATTTGCTAACTAGATGGGAGGGTTTCTGAAGTAATATGGGCTGCTCCTGATGACATGAACAGCCTAGCATGAAACACAGCTCAAGGTTCCACCTGATTGTGAACTTGTAGTCTCAGTTAGTATGATTATCGAGTGACAAACAAGTCCCTGGAGCAAAAGAGATGTGCTTTTGGAAAATACTTCATGTTTCCTTTTCAAATTATGCATGTAAAACATATTTATTATACAAATAACTATAAGACAAAAAAGCACATAACTCAATATTCACGCTGCCCTATGGTAATCAACATTAAATTTTGTGTATTTTAAAAATACACCTTTATGCAAACACAGAAAAGAGAGCACCAACTGTGTGAACATTTTAAAAATGCAGATATATTTAGAATTTTATACTATTTGTATCATTTATAAAAAAAAATTCACTTACCAAAAATATATTTCCACACTTTTAAAAAACCATTTTTCAACATTTTAATGATTGCATGATGCAAAGAAATATTTTTAGTGCTTTCCTGAAATGTATGATTATTTCAATTGTAATAATTACATTTTAAATTAAATATTAATGTGTGAAATATTTTCAATCATATAGACATTCTATTGGCAAACTGATAAAGTCTAAAAGATAGTTTTCTAGTCTTCTAAAAATGTTTGGCAAATATTGGGGTAGGTTTACTATGGTAAGTATAGTATATTATAAGGTTAGTGCAAGAAAATGAAAACACTTAGAAATTGTTCTAAATTTGGGAAAAGAAACATACCTGTTATACTTCCTACAACAATGTTTCAGTATTTTTATGTAGGTAGTACTGTTATTTAAGGTTTCTCTCCTCCCCTTATACCTCATCTGAGCTATTGCCAAAATATATTAGCTTACAATTCTGTTAAATTTTATGGAATAGAAAAACTCTTCTTGCAATATCCACAATTGAGCACTGGGAGGGCAGTCCAGCTTCTTCCTAAGTGCTTTATAGATCAAGAAAACACTCATCTATTTGCAAGCATTATTCAAGGTCAATTTAAACAGAGTTTCTTGCAGACAATTTTTTTATTCAAAGAAGCAAGACTCTCAATTAGTTTAGATCTATGAATAGGAGCCATTGTTTACTGCCTGTTATTTGTACCATAAGCTCTTATGTCTTTTTTAGAATAACTTAATAAAAAGCAGATATTTGAGTCTATAAAAGCATACACATATTTTTTTTGAATCTTATATGCTTCAACATGTTAAACTTTAAATGAAACTGAAGGACACTCAAACAAAGTCACTTTTGTCAAAGCCTTTTCCTAAAACACATTTGGATGATGCAAGATGTAATCTCTTGTGATGTCCAAGTGATTGATAAACCAATTTATGCGGAATACACAAGAACTGTTTGGACTTTGTGGTTTTCTTAAATGAGATGAATAAGAAAATTTGTTTTCTGAATAGGAACTAAAGTATGCTAGGCCTATTTTAGATGTTTCAGTGTGCCAAAGATGGTATTAAGTTTGGTGTTCATAAATTACTAATCTGGAATAAGAGGTTGAATGTATTTTGAAAACTTAAACCTGTTTCACCTGAACATGTTTAACTAGTTAATAAGAAACATCAAAAAGAAAAAACCCTGAGGTCAATGGTCATTTTTTGTAAAGCTATTATATGCTGTTTAAATTGCTTGTTCGGGTCTGTCTATAACATAAGTTTAATAACCTAGCTCAAATGCAGATTTCTAATTTTCAATTAACATAGGAATAATTTTGTTTGCTAAAATAAAATAAATGAATGAATGACAAGTCTGAAACATGAAATGTTCTAGGTAGAACTTTTTAAAATTCCAAATTTCAAAAAATCATGTGGCAACTGTATAGCTCAAGCTTTAAGTATTAACTTTTAACCTTTGACCTTACAGATTTTAACCAATGAAATGTCTCTTTAAACTTTAAAGGAAACAATGATAACGAGCGCCTGGCGATTGCTAGACAGCGAATTCCATATCGACTTGGTCGAGTAGTTGATGAATGGCTACTCGACAAAGGTAAAAAACATTGATTAAAACTTCAAATAAAAAAATAATTTGAACATAACCAAGTAGTACTTCATTGTAACACTAATAAACATAAAATAAATTTTCCGTAAAACTAAATTAAAAACAAATTTAAAACAGTTAAATGTAGATAGTAATATTTGCATACCTTGTATAATAATTTCTATACATTTTTAGACGTACCAGCTGTTTAATAATCTTACCCAGTTAACTTAAGGTTAAAGGGACTGTTAAATATAATCCACTAACTCAATCTATGAAGGTACTCACAGCAAGCATTAACCCAAAATGATAAATCATTCATAGATTATATTGTTCCAGCCTCTAAATTATTAACTAAAATATATGTAGTTCTGATATCTTTATTATGGTCCTGAAAAAAAAAAAAGCAAAACTCTTTGTTTAAACTCTAGGAATCTTAAATAGTGGGCAATATGGATTGCCAGTCAAAATGAAGTCCCTTTAACGTTTGCAACCTTCTAAGAGCATTTGGGAACAAGCCCTAATTAAAACTGAACTTAAAGTTGTGTGCATGCTTTTTATGAGCAGAGAGCAAATCTGCTAAACTGGATCCTCAATTTGATGATAATGGTACTGTTGCTAAGGATTGCTGTTTGATGGAAATGTGCCATCTTTTCTCCATTGGTTTGTGTATCATTCCTGAAGCCGCTTTTTACATCTGAAGCTATTTTTTTTTTCATTTTGTTTTATTTTGATAGACTTGCTGAAAGCCAATCAGAAAAAAAAATATTTTTGGATTTTTTTTTTTTTTTTTTGGTCTCTGACATGCTAAGTGTAAACCCTACATTTCTTTTCAGTGTGATTGCCGGAAAAGTAGAATAATTCCAATAACAATGGACTATTGCCTTCAAAAATAAACATTTCTAAAGAATAGCATACAGATACATGTGGACATTATGCAAATTACGAAATTTTTACCATAAAATTTAAAATTAGACTTCYGCTACTCTAGATTAGTTTCTGTCAGAGGTAATTTTAAGATGACAAATGCTTGAAATGTTAGATATGTCACACCTTTTAAATTTAAAGATTTAGACTTAACAGACCAACAATATAAGATATGAGGGCAAAGGGCAAAGGGATCCACTAAAAATTGATTTGTAATACCTATCTTTGATTGGTCTTTTAGCAAAAGCACTACATTTACAATAACTTGAGAATTTACAAGTATTTGCCAATAATTATGCATTTCATGGACACCTCATTTATAAGCAATGAATTATGAGTCAAATGCCTCTCTTATAGTTTATTGCTCTCATTATCCACCCCATGAAMGATCTGTTTTATCATCCTTTGTAGAATGTAGAGTTCACAATCAACATTTTTGCATGTATGTAATATTATTTTTACAGGGCGTCAGCTCACAATCTTCAATAGCCAAGCAACCATAATAATTGGYGGGAAAGAGCAGGGCCAGCCCTTCCAGGGCCAGCTCTCTGGGCTTTACTACAATGGCTTGAAAGTTCTGAATATGGCAGCCGAAAACGATGCCAACATCGCCATAGTGGGAAATGTGAGACTGGTTGGTGAAGTGCCTTCCTCTATGACAACTGAGTCGACAGCCACTGCCATGCAGTCAGAGATGTCCACATCAATTATGGAGACCACCACGACCCTGGCGACTAGCACAGCTAGAAGAGGAAAGCCACCTACGAAAGAACCCATCAGCCAGGTGAGCATGCGTATTTCATTCCTTCATTTGGGACTTGTGAAAGTGGGCTTTTTTGCATGTGAGACGTTTATAAAATAAGGTTTTTTTTTTTTTTTCCGGATGTCAGGCTAAATGGTTCCTTTGAGGTTGCTTAACATAATGCATTCAGTTGGAATTTGAACCATATTGTAGTTTGTGGACATTTATAAAAGGCTTTGTGTTGCTTTGCTGGTTGCTGGCTAAGAGTCTTGATAGAATACATTTGGTCTAGCCCAGGCTGAGAGGATTGTCTGCTTATTGCACACTTTTCAATTAAAGTTTAATGAGCAAGTAAATTAATGAAATATTTAAAAGACCTTGTTTGTTTAAGATCAACACTTTATCATTTTTTAAAGAAAAAAGCAAAGCTGATCTTAAGAGAGGTATGCCTGCAATACTTATATTGTATTTTGAAGTCTTAAAATTTTGAGTTGATAGACAAGTGGCTTTCATGGTGATTGATAGTCTATTCTTCTACTATGTATGAGAAAAACATGTTATTTCTTTGAGGACAAAGGCACCAAATGTGCTATTCAAAAACTATCTTGGGCTAAGGTATTCTGTATACTTTACTAATTGTGCTCACCTGGAATTCACTTTAATAGCTTATTATTCAATCAAAAATAGAATTTTTAAATGTGGCATAGTTACAGGCTAGAGGCTTATTAATTCAACTAAGATGTACTTGTTGATTGCCTACCATGTACTAGACACTGATGTAGTTATTACTATCACATCAATGAAGAACACAGAACGACATTTATGAAKGCTGGTAGACCGTGTAGAAATGCCATTACATGCTATTTGATGCCCATTGACATTTATAGCCTCTGTATATATTCAGTTGCTAATGCTTTCTCAACTGTTCATTTTCCTTGGTCCCAAATTCATTTTTAAGTTTTGTTTGTAAGTTAGTAAATGTCTTTCCTAGGTACCATAAAAAGCTTTTCCAAATACATGACCCTACTTTTCTAGAAAACTACCTTCTAAAGGCACATGAGTAACAACAATTAATTTCAACATTRCTTTTACTTCATGTGTTTAAAACAGACTAAGTACCAGATTTGGAAAGAAACTAATRGAAAGCAAATTTTGTTTGTATCTGCACCCTATCTACTAATTAATTCATGTTTCCTATGAAAATAAGAAAGTAGATTCTAATTTTTACTTTACATTGAAAGACGAGTTATGAACAGAATAGAGAAATGTCCTGGGAAAAGAAAAATGATTTAAAAATTATAAATTTGGTATATTAATAAAGGTGGTACAGTATGGTATTGCATATTTTGCACCTCTATGCCCCTGTTTTCTTCCTGTTTGCCTTTGAGCACATGGTAAAATGGGCTGTCTCCCAGGATAGTCAACAGGACATATTTATTAATAACTCTCTGCAAGAGCAGGACACTCTTCTAAGCAGGAGGATATATTGAAACAACAAACACAATCTCTAGCCCTCATGAAATATCCATTTTAGTAGGAATGTTTGCTTCAAGTATCTTCCTTTTATTGACTTCTCTATCTATACTGACAAGATTGGTGATAATGTCATGCACTTAACCACTTGATAGAGTTGTGACTTTAGAGAGATTTATGCTTGCCCAATAGATTCATTTGATATTGTCTTATAATACTTCATTAGTGATTTTTTCCTGTCATTTATTTGTAGTTCAGTTAATGCTAAGCAAGTTTTTTTTTTAAAGTGAATCTGATACACGAAAAATGAAGCACAAAGGAATCAATACTCCATTTCCTTTCTATAAAATAATTCATAAGAGAACAAGTGCATTCAGAGTTGGAAATGTTTTTGTGAATATAATTGGAAATAGGTATTGTTCTTAGTAGTTGTATTAYATTTTTAATGCAATGACAGTTGCAAAAGCTCCTAGGTAATCTAAATGTATCCTTGAATAAGGAAAGAATTGTTAGCATTGTTTTGATGTATTTTATCAATTAGTATCTGCAACATACTAAGAAATATTATTTTGAAAAAAGGAAAAATAACCATTTCTTTAAAAGATACTGAGAAATTCAGAAATAAAAAGTATGCATTTTATAATATTAATTAATACATAAGAAATACAGTTGACTGCTTGTTAATTTAATTGCCAATGGAAAGATTTTTTTTTTATTATGAGCTATTACATGTTTAAAGATASCAGTGGTTTACACAAGTAAATGATTTAATCAATTAATAATTACTTGGGTCATTTGAGGAAGTATTGACTTAAATACAAAAATTACTAGGTTCATGGAAAATAGATATTTTAAATMTTTACATCTTTTAATAGACCAAGAACAGCAATTAAAGAGTTTGGCTTAATATGTTACAAATAATCAATTGTTACAAATATTCAATTTGGCAACAACGTTTTAAACTTGGACAAATCATTTTCAAAATTGTTTTATATGTCATAGGTGCCAGTGAAATGCACCTATATAGGAGAGGAAAACCAATAGAGAAGGAAGCAAATTATTTATTTTTGAGTAATGCAATAACTTATTGTAAACTTTTCTTACCTCAACATTGATTTTCAAATTGTCCTTTAAGTACAAAGAAGTTATATATATATATATATATATATATATATATATATATATATATATATAAAATATTTAAAGTGTTTATTGGAATTGCTCAACATTTAGGAAGTTTAAATATGCGAGTGATTTGTAATGCTAATTTTAGTTCTGGAAACGTTTACCCATTTTTTACAGATTAGATGCTTCATCTCTCCTATCAACCTCGTCCATAATGGCTATATCTGCCTGCTTTTATCTACTGCCTTACTAAATTGTGTACCAGGAAGGGTCATTTCATTTTTCAAAAGCCATACTGGACTGTTTTTTCAATCAAAGTGTATTTTCCTCAGTGATAACACTGAGCCACTTAAGCTACAATGGCAATGTACTTTGGGGTGATTGCATGTTTTAGAACTATGGAAACAGATTTTTGGTCAAGCAGAATTAAATTGGATTCATTTCAAATAGATGAGATGAAGTTTGTTCAGTCATCCYGCAGGGCAAGGAGTAGGTGAGAAATGTATTTCGCTTTTCACAGGGTCCAAGAATATAAGAGTGTTCATGAAAATATCCTCCACAAGATCCTGTTTACTTTCCTACTTAAATGTAAATAGGTTTTAAGAAGAAAAAATAATAGCAGTTTTTCTTCTTTCTTGATCAATTTTCATACTGATGTTTCCTTAAAAAGACATAATTTATATTATGAAAGTATGGTGATATTTATCAACTCTTCTGATTAAATGGATTCATTTTAATGTGAATATAACAATATTGWTAATACTTTTGTATGCATAATGTAAAGTTCAGGAACCTGTTTTACTTAGAATATTTAATTGTTTCCATAAGACCCATTTGCCTTAAGAGACATTTTCCATAAGACTATTCTCATTAAGACAATATTTGTGAAAATAATTGGAGGGTATAAAATTCCTAGGAATGCTGACAGCTTCCTGGGATGGGGAAGCAATGAGTTGGAAGGATTTAGCCACTAAATGTTCCCTCTCCTTCTTCATGATCTGATAATTTTTTATGATGTTCATGTGCGTGTGCATTTATGTGAATAAGTAAAAGGGCAACCTTCACTCCCTTTGCTTTCCAATCTGTATAGAAAAGAAAGCAGTTCTGTGCTGTTTCTTTTAAGATCAAGATTGCGGCATTTATTCTGGAGTTTTCTTTGCAGCACATTTTATGATCTTTTCTTTCTTTCCTGAATACTTTACAAGCTATATACATATTATAGAAACTTTGAATGCTTGGTTTGGTAATKTTTTTTTTTTCTTAGAGGTAGTATAATGGAGAGAATAGTGAATGAGAAGTCTGGTTTCCCGTTGGACACCAGCAACTACCTTATTGTGTGACTTGGACAGTTTTGTTTACCTCACTCTTCTTTAGTTTTGTTTTTTTTTTTTTTTTTGTTGTTGTTGTTGGTTTTGGAGTGGGTGGGGGCTGGTTACCAGGCAATGAACTCAGGGGCACTCAACCACTGAGCCATAGTCCCTAGCACTATTTTGGATTTTTTTTAGAGACAGGATCTCACTGAGTTGCTTAGCACTTCGCCATTCTGAGGCTGGCTTTGAACTTGCAATCCTCCCATCTCAGCCTCCTAAGCCACTGAGATTTAGGTGTGCAGCACCACGCCTGGCTTTTTTAAAGTTTGTTGCTGCCCTATAATAAGTGGGTTACTAGGAATCTCTTGCATTTTATTCAGCTCTAAAATTTAATTGATTCTAGTGATGATACTCTTAATTAGGTCTTCTCATCATTATTTAACAAAGCATAGATGTCACCCTTCACCTTTTCATAGGGTGGCCGTGCATCCCAGTTGGCCAGGATAGTCCCAGTGTGTACCTGACATTCTGAAATAATTACTGATATATTTTTGACTCTTAGTAGCACCCCATTTTGGTATCTAACCAATATCGCACTCTACTTTTTTAGCATATGTAAAACCTATCTTTGCAAGAAAATCATACTTCACAAGAATAATAAATATCAACCCTCTCCTTAATATTCAGAGAAGAAACCGATCTGGTAGTTTTATCTGGTTTTCAGAATACACAGCTTTTTCATCTTCTCATCTTGTTTCAAAAATCTTGAGAAAGGGGAGAGAATAAGGTTTTGAAAGACTCTAGTTTTTGACTAGCCTGCATCTCCTGGGAAGAAATTAAATTATGGAGTGAGGCAGAATCAGCAAATATGAGTAGAATGTATTGGACAGTTCGGTGATTCCAGGGTGAAGTTTTCCAGGGCAGAGTTACCAAATCTACTCAAGGAGAGAAACTCTAGAGGGTTATAAAACATTCCTGGTAGCTTGTCAGAGACATGTATATTTCACACATGAGACATCCTATTAAAGTCAATGGTATTTGATTCCCAGTGGAATTTTCTGGAAAGAAACCCAATTAGTGTTCCAGCAAGAAAAGAGTATTTAATATATTGGCCACTGCTAGTGCTTCTTAGAG